ATGTTTTCTTAAGAGAATTCTGGCAAAAGGAATTTGGATGCAGTCCTCTTTCTTCCTATTTCTCTTCATCCCTCATTCCAAGGTCTGACTACCTCACAAATGTTTCTGCTTCCTCAACTGATAACATTCCTCCTCAGAAAATTTCACCATCACTCTGCAGTGGAACAGAGTCCCTGGAGAACGTGGAAAATCACTTTACTGATACCTCTCAGCTAAGGGTGGCATATAATGTCTACCTTGCCGTTTATGCTGCTGCCCATGCCCTTCATAGCCTTCTCTCCTGTAATACCCATACATGCACCTTTCAGAAAAACATCAAACACATAGAGGTGAAAACTTCTATCAATGTACCATCTTATAATTCACCTTATAATTCACAACGTTTTTAACCGTTTCTTCAACACTTGATATTTTCAGCTGTTACAGCAATTGAACAAAGTGAACATCACCACACCACATGGGGAAAGGTTTTACTTCCAAGGTGCTGACATTCCAGCAATGTATGACCTCGTCAATTGGCAGAAACAACCAGAGGGGCAACTCAAACTTGTCTTGGTTGGTCGTGTGGATGGGTTTAACATCCATCTTAATGAGTCAGCTGTGCAGTGGAGCTCAGGATCCAGTCAGGTTGTTACGAAGCAACAAGTGGTCTAAAGTCTACTTTCAAATTTTCTGTTGAAATGAATCTAATAGTCAGTTTCTAGATTTTTACCAATGAGAATATATATATTTTTAAATTAAAGTTTTTTGTCAAGGTTCCTTTTTCAGTGTGCAGTGAGAGCTGCCCTCCAGGTACCCGAAAGGCCAACAGGAAAGGAGAGCCTCTCTGCTGCTTTGACTGTATCCCATGCACTGAGGGGAAATAAGCAATGAAACTGGTGAGGAAATCTGCCCTAAATTTGACACAAACTTGTGTTGTAAACTTTCTTTGATTCTTTGTGTTTCATTAGCTTTTTTCTCTTCCAGGTTCTCTTAATTGTGAGGGATGTCCATCTGAGTTCTGGTCCAATGTTGAACGAACTGCCTGCGTCCCTCGTCAGTTGGACTTCCTTTCCTTTAACGAAACATTGGGCATCACTCTGACAACAGTGGCTGCATCCGGTGTTGTGGTGACAACAGCTGTGTTTGTTCTATTTTTTTGCAACCGCCAAACACCCATGGTAAGATCACAGTTTCATGTAATGGAGAATACTTTGTATTTTCAATATCCTTAGTTTTTACAAATACATCTCAACTCTTTTTAGGTACGAGCCAACAATTCAGAACTCAGCTTCCTGCTTCTTCTGTCCCTGAAGCTCTGCTTCTGTGCTCACTGGTGTTCATTGGTCGTCCATCAGTCTGGTCCTGTCGGTTTCAGCAGGCAGCCTTTGGGATCAGCTTTGTACTTTGTGTTTCCTGCCTTCTGGTTAAAACCCTCGTAGTGCTTGCTGTTTTCCGCTCAGCTCGGCCTGGTGCTGAAACCTTGATGAAGTGGTTTGGTCCTGTTCAACAGAGAGGGAGTGTCTTTCTCTTCACCTGTATACAGGTGTGGTTTGGTAGCATTTTCTTAATTAAATGAATATAACAATTTAATTAATATGCATTAGTAATTACTTACTTTTTAAGTATATGTATAACACTGAAATGTGTTCCTTTCTTTCAGGTTATTATCTGTGCCACATGGTTGTCCATCAGTCCTCCAGTGCCTCGACGTGATCTGGGTTTCCAAGGATCAAAGGTCAGACTAGAGTGTGCCATGGGTTCCCTGGTGGGCTTCTCTCTGGTTCTTGGCTACATTGGCCTGCTGGCCTGCACCTGCCTCCTCTTGGCTTTTCTCGCTCGGAATCTTCCTGACAACTTCAATGAGGCCAAACTGATCACCTTCAGCATGCTGATATTCTGTGCAGTATGGGTAGCTTTTGTTCCTGCTTATATTAGCTCTCCTGGAAAATATGTTGTGGCTGTAGAAATCTTTTCCATCTTGGCCTCCAGCTATGGTTTACTGCTTTGCATATTTGCCCCCAAATGTTTCATTATTCTTTTGAGGCCAGAGAAAAACACAAAGAAACAGCTAATGGCCAGATAGTTGATCTGGCTTAAATGTAAACATAGACCCTTAATTAGAAGTTAGATGTTTCTCTGTGGTGAGAGTCCATTGGTCTTCCAATCCTACGGTAATGTCCTGATTCCAAGAACAGATCAGACAGAAATATATCATTAGTAACAAACTGAATAGAATGCAATAATAGTTAGTAATCAACCCGTACATGTTCAGTCAAAATTTAAGTGATTTCCTCTCTTTTAGTTTTCTAGATTTAACTGGTGAGTCCGAATTTTTCTGTTACTGTTTGCTGTAATATGTTTTGTGTTCAACTCTTAGATTTGATTAAATCTTATACCATTGGCAATGTTTTATTTCAGAAATAAATGTATGTTGCAGGGCATCCCCCAATTGTCACTGTTTACTTGTTTAATTAAATAGATTTGATAATTTAACATTATATACTGATTTTGTTGAATCCCATCATTGTAAACATAACAAGAAACACCCATTTGTTTCACAGCATTTACTGTCACATGTTCCTATTTACACAAATACACTAAATATAATTGCTCTTAGAAAAAGTTTTCTTCTGAATTGTTTCAATAATTAAGCATAACATTAAAATCACATCAATGACAGATTACTTTAACTACTGCTTGTTTATATACCTCGTTAGATCATAAATAATATAGGCCTACTGATGTTAGTTTGAGATATGTTAATATTATTTAACCCAAGCCTGTCATGTCCAATTTAATTTCTTGTGATACACTGATTAAAATGTACATTGACATAGGCAGCTTCCTTTATCAGAGGAGGGATTCTACACAATGACTGATTCCAGATATGTAATAGATAATAGATCACTTACTGGATCAATAAGAACTTCTTTGGGATTTTACATTTTATAGCCTCTTTGCTGTTCTTCATTGTGAATTGCATACAATGGCTAAAATAGTATATAACAGTATATCTTTAAAGGGGCTTGGTTCAAGATCAAAGCCATATCCTGATGACATATATTGCTCTATGCTAACCTCTGCCCCCTGAATCAATTCCAACAGTCCAGCACTTTCTGCCTGGCAGATTGGAAGTGTGCTGATCATCGACTTTATTTTCTGTCTGTAGGATCGGACCTCATCCTGCAGGGTTTGAACTGTTCTCCAGGCTTTTGTTCTTTTCCTGCAGAGTTCCTTTTTCTACTTGCAGCTGGCTTAGCTGCAGAAAGGACATGTGTTGAGCAAGAAGGAGGAGCTTCCCAACAACATCCAGGATCATGCTTTGGGTTTCCTAGTTTGATATGATCAACTAGCTCCTTTATTTTTTATCTATCACAAATGCTAATTGAATAGCTATTGAGGTTGTTAATCTTCTCTAAGGATAGATGGATCACACCAGCAACTGTTTCTTGCAGTGCTGCATGGTCTTGTTCAAAGGGAGTCTCAGCTTCTGGCTCACCTAGGGTCTTGGCACAAATTTTACCTGGTGAAATGGAACCCCAGTGGCTCATAATGACTTTTAGTGAAGCTGCTTAGCTAAAAAAAAAATCTAAAATCCACAGGAGAGCAAATCTGGTCTAAGTTTTAAACTTGTCACTGCACTCTATCCTGGAAACACCTCAAGACCTCTGATGATTTGGGAAACTCGCACCTCTCAGACAGCTGGCTACTCTGTGCATTGGTTACTATCTCAACTGTACAAATGGCTAAATTGTTGTCTTAAACAACAAAAGGACAACACAAAGTAATTATACTACCCAACTCACCAACAACACACAACACAAACTAAACCACAACGTAATGTATACTTTGCTTGAAAGTACATTCTCAAAAATAAATAAATAAGTACTTTACCTAGCACAAACAATGCGATGAGGCTGGTTTATAGCGGGCCTCACATGGGGCACCAATTATGTTGGGGTTTTATGAAGTAATTTTGGCTATAATTTAATTATTAATATGAATAATGAGGATTAATCCATTATGAATATAAATTACCAAAATTATGATTTTCAATTAACAACAATGGGGCACCCTCCTGGAATCAGGGAATAACAGCCAGATAACACAAATCATACTTAATTGTAATTAGTTAAATATCTACATTATTAATATTTAACAAGTATCCTTATTCAAATAAATGGAAGGCGTGAATCCGTATACTAGCCCTTGCACCCATCTGTTATCACAATGCACATACACCAGTAATCAAAGACAACTGCCTTTTAAATATAAATTATAATATAATTTATTTAACAAGGCAACATCAACTGCAATCAATGAAACTCAATTAAAAAAATAACTATCATAAACTAAACTACAGCAAAAAGAGTTTATCGACAAACAAATGAACATATGTGGCATACGTGCTTGTGTGTGTGATAGAGAGAGAGAGAGAAAATTGGCGGAAAAAGAGAGACAGATAGAGAGAGAGGGAGAGCCCTGTGGCTTGGCCTATAGCAGCTTGAACTCTCTGTGATCAGTTCAGTAACTATAATTTAAACACCAGAAAGGCAGTGGTCGAACTTTGATTTACCAGCAGGTACAGCGGTCTTTCTGATTTTGAAGGCAGTTTACTGATAGTGAGCTGAGACAGCAGATTGAATAAACACACAGGTGAACATGATGGTTCAGCAACAATAAAACAAATGCAGCAGCTTACAACAGATGATAAAGTACACAATTATCAATTGTTATTGAAGAAATATTTCCTCAAGCTATTTCTGCCAAGAAAAAAGCCTCTTACTTGGGATCACTCTCCTGGTGATTGATGCAAAGTTTAATCTGCTGTTCAATTTGTTGAAGGTTGATCAACCGATTTTAACAGGTTCCAGGTTCCGCCACACTTTACACCTTAGGTGTGAGTTGCTACAGGGGATGTGGGGAATCACTGTTTTTGCATGTCCTTTTTTGTTTCCCTCCTAATGTACTCAATTCAGGCATCCTTATGGGGATACGGGCCTGGGTCTGTCCAACACATGGCTGGTCTCAACAGGTGCGAGCCAATAATTCAGAACATGTGAATGTTGTTGTTGTTTGGAGTCTTAAATAATTCATGTTACAAATCAAATAAATAAGAAACCTATTTTTAAATGAAGACCATGGTATATTTTAATGTAAACATGTACTGCACACACTTGTTTTTAAGTATCCTGAAATTACTCGAACTTACTTACATTTAGCTAGAAGTTTTGAGGAGATCCAAAACATGGACAGATATAATGCCATTAATATGCTTTTTCACTCAAAATGTTCAAGGATTTAAAAATAGGTTAGATTGAAAGGTTTTTGGGTAGCTACATGCTGCGTGTTATCTGAACATGTTCAAGCAGATTTATTTACAGTTTAGGCTGCCTGGAGGCTTTTCCCTATTGCATCATATCTGCTAATCACTTGTTAGCAGTGTTTTTTCCCTCACCACCACTCTGGAGAGGAATCCTCCTTTGTGGTGTGCTACTTGTGTCATAGTTTACTTACTTGCAAGAGGCTTTGTACATATTATAAATATGCACATCAAGACATTCCTAGTTTAGATTTGGAGAGGGGGTATGTTAAAGTCGGGATCAAAATTTAAGTTGGCTATTAATCTTTTGATACAAGCTTTTAGACAAGTAAAACATGCTTTTGTATGTAGTGTCCTTTCTCTGTACAGGAAACTGAAATTTAACTGATATGACAGTGAAGTAAAATTGGATCTATGACATTTCTTGCCATTTAAAAAACCCTAAAATGCGTTATATCTTTATTTTTGATGAACCATGTTGGATGTTAGTACTTTTGCATTCACTGATTGTTTGATTCACTAATTGCACTTCCAGTTTATGCATATTTTGACATTGGTTAAAAATCTTTGAATGTGTTTGATTTCCAGCCTTCTTCTTCTCAGTGCAGTGGGCCAACAGACAGGACTGAATGTGGTTCAGGCCACAGTATGCTCCCACTGGGGTGCACCGACTGATAAGAGTCTAATCCAGGATGGAGATGTGATTATCGGTGGACTTTTTAACCTGTATCACATACCTTCAACTAAAGATGAGGACTACACAAAGAAACCACATTATGAACCTTGTACTGGGTGAGCTTAATAACTACATATAGTTTTGTTAAATGTTTGGCGGGTTACTGAGTATTCATTATGTGACTGCACATTGTATTTTTTATTTTTTCCCGGAGTCTTATTTTAGTCTGCAGACAAATTTAATTCTGCAGATCCAGGAATTATTGCAATGTTTGTGATACTTTAAAAGTTTTATCACCTGTTACAATAGTTGAAGAGCTCACTTTAATTATTTTACAATTACTTTAATAGATTTTATCCTAGTTAATTCATGTTGCTTGTTCATGTTTTTAGACAGCCTTGTGTCCTGATTGTTGTTGAAGTTAATACATTCTGCTCTACTCTCTCTCTTATGGTCTCAGCTTAGAACTGGAGCCGTTAAAATACTCTTATGCCATGGTGTTTGCTGTGGAGGAAATCAATCGAAACAACACCCTACTACCAGGAGTGAAGCTGGGTTACCGAATACTTGATAGCTGTTCCCTGTACCCGTGGGCTCTGCAAGGTGCAATGTCATTGGTTGGAGGAGACACACACAGCTGCAACTTGACAGCCTTTGCAGGTCCTATTGAATCTAATGAACAACCTGTAGTGAGAGCAGGTACGTGATATCATTTAGTATTCAGTTGAAATATCTTACCTCCACAAAACCAAAAGATGATTAAATGTGGTAAAAAATGCTTCCCTATGTAATCATGAGCCCAAATGCATTAAGGTGGTCTGCCTGTACCGATGATCATTGGTGCTGATCCTCTACAACAGGCATAATGATGTCCAGCACCCTGGGGCCTCTCTATGTACCAGTTGTAAGTTTCATTACCTCAAAAATAAACCTCTTCATAATCGTATGTTTACAAATCTACATAAAGATTCTGATAGAAAAATAAAATGGAATCTTTCTTGTAAAAAGAAAAAATCAACATTTGTGTGTCTTTTTGTTTAGATCAGCTACCTGGCAAGCTGCCCCTGCCTTAGTGACAGGCTTAAATATCCTACTTTCTTCAGAACAATTCCCAGTGATATTTACCAAGCTTGGGCCATGGCACAATTGGCCATTCGCTTCCACTGGACATGGATAGGAGCAGTGGTGGAAAACAATGATTATGGTCAGCTTGCAATACAGGTGCCAGTATGTCTTTGTGTTATTGCACTATGCATTGCTATAAATACTATATCATGTATGTTATTTAAAGCACAGTTGGCATACACAGTATGTAAAAACATATTTGGAATATTTATATTTCAGGTATTCCAGAAAGAGATTTTTGGGAAAGGAGTGTGTTTGGAATTCATTGAGACCCTCATGCCAGAAACTATTGTGACTGATGTAAAACGTGCAGCACTTACAATTCAAGCTTCGACTGCGAGGGTGATTCTGATCTTCTGCTGGTATACTGAAGTAAAGAAACTGCTTCTGGAACTGGTCAAGAGAAATGTGGGCAAACAGCATGGAAATGTGTTTTTTGAAAAGGTTTATTATAAAAACAACGATATATATATACATATATATTATAAAAATAATGTCATTCGTAGGTGACTGACAGACAGTTCCTGGCAAGTGAGGCTTGGAGTACCAGTGATGATCTTCTCCAAGATCAAACCATCTCTAAAGTAGCAAATGGTGTTCTTGGTGTGGCCATTCGTAGTTCAACTATACCTGGATTTGAAAATTATCTCAGAAGTTTGCATCCAATTCGTCGTCCTAATGATGTTTTCTTAAGAGAATTCTGGCAAAAGGAATTTGGATGCAGTCCTCTTTCTTCCTATTTCTCTTCATCCCTCATTCCAAGGTCTGACTACCTCTGTTTCTGCTTCCTCAACTGATAACTTCCTCAACTGATAATGTTCCTCCTCAGAAAATTTCACCACCACTCTGCAGTGGAACAGAGTCCCTGGAGAACGTGGAAAATCACTTTACTGATACCTCTCAGCTAAGGGTGGCATATAATGTCTACCTTGCCGTTTATGCTGCTGCCCATGCCCTTCATAGCCTTCTCTCCTGTAATACCCATACATGCACCTTTCAGAAAAACATCAAACACATAGAGGTGAAAACTTCTATCAATGTACCATCTTATAATTCACCTTATAATTCACAACATTTTTAACCGTTTCTTCAACACTTGATATTTTCAGCTGTTACAGCAATTGAACAAAGTGAACATCACCACACCACATGGGGAAAGGTTTTACTTCCAAGGTGCTGACATTCCAGCAATGTATGACCTCGTCAATTGGCGGAAACAACCAGATGGGCAACTCAAACTTGTCTTGGTTGGTCGTGTGGATGGGTTTAATCTCCATCTTAATGAGTCAGCTGTGCAGTGGAGCTCAGGATCCAGTCAGGTTGTTACGAAGCAACAAGTGGTCTAAAGTCTACTTTCAAATTCTCTGTTGAAATGAATCTAATAGTCAGTTTATACTTTTGTACAATTGAGAATATTATTTTTTTAAATTAAGTTTTTTGTCAAGGTTCCTTTTTCAGTGTGCAGTGAGAGCTGCCCTCCAGGTACCCGAAAGGCCAACAGGAAAGGAGAGCCTCTCTGCTGCTTTGACTGTATCCCATGCACTGAGGGGGAAATAAGCAATGAAACTGGTGAGGAAATCTGCCCTAAATTTGACACAAACTTGTGTTGCAAACTTTCTTTGATTCTTTGTGTTTCATTAGCTTTTTTCTCTTCCAGGTTCTCTTAATTGTGAGCGATGTCCATCTGAGTTCTGGTCCAATGTTGAGCAAACTGCCTGCGTCCCTCGTCAGTTGGACTTCCTTTCCTTTAACGAAACATTGGGCATCACTCTGACAACAGTGGCTGCATCCGGTGTTGTGGTGACAACAGCTGTGTTTGTTCTATTTTTTTGCAACCGCCAAACACCCATGGTAAGATCACAGTTTCATGTAATAGAAAATACTTTGTATTTTCAACATCCTTAGTTGTTACAAATACATCTCAACTCTTTATTAGGTACGAGCCAACAATTCAGAACTCAGCTTCCTGCTTCTTCTGTCCCTGAAGCTCTGCTTCCTGTGCTCACTGGTGTTCATTGGTCGTCCATCAGTCTGGTCCTGTCGGTTTCAGCAGGCAGCCTTTGGGATCAGCTTTGTACTTTGTGTTTCCTGCCTTCTGGTTAAAACCCTCGTAGTGCTTGCTGTTTTCCGCTCAGCTCGGCCTGGTGCTGAAACCTTGATGAAGTGGTTTGGTCCTGTTCAACAGAGAGGGAGTGTCTTTCTCTTCACCTGTATACAGGTGTGGTTTGGTAGCATTTTCTTAATTAAATGAATATAACAATTTAATTAATATGCATTAGTAATTACTTACTTTTTAAGTATAGATGTATAACACTGAAATGTGTGTCCTTTCTTTCAGGTTATTATCTGTGCCACATGGTTGTCCATCAGTCCTCCAGTGCCTCGACGTGATCTGGGTTTCCAAGGATCAAAGGTCACACTAGAGTGTGCCATGGGTTCCCTGGTGGGCTTCTCTCTGGTTCTTGGCTACATTGGCCTGCTGGCCTGCACCTGCCTCCTCTTGGCTTTTCTCGCTCGGAATCTTCCTGACAACTTCAATGAGGCCAAACTGATCACCTTCAGCATGCTGATATTCTGTGCAGTATGGGTAGCTTTTGTTCCTGCTTATGTTAGCTCTCCTGGAAAATATGTTGTTGCTGTAGAAATATTTTCCATCTTGGCCTCCAGCTATGGTTTACTGCTTTGCATATTTGCCCCCAAATGTTTCATTATTCTTTTGAGGCCAGAGAAAAACACAAAGAAAAGCTAATGGCAAGATAGTTGATCTGGCTTAAATGTAAACATAGACCCTTAATTGGAAGTTAGATGTTTCTCTGTGGTGAGAGTCCATTGGTCTTCCAATCCTACGGTAATGTCCTGATTCCAAGAACAGATCAGACAGAAATATATCATTAGTAACAAACTGAATAGAATGCAATAATAGTTTGTAATCAACCCATGCATGTTCAGTCAAAATTTAAGTAATTTCCTCTCTTTTAGTTTTCTAGATTTAACTGGTGAGTCTGGATTTTTCTGTTACTGTTTGCTGTAATATTTTATGTGTTCAAGTCTTAGATTTGATCAAATCTTATACCATTGCCAATGTTTTATTTCAGAAATAAATGTATGTTGCAGGGCATCCCCCAATTGTCACTGTTTACTTGTTTAATTAAACAGATTTGATAATCTAACATTATATACTGACTTTTTTCAATCCCATCATTGTAAACGTAACAAGAAACACCCATTTGTTTCACAGCATTTACTGTCACATGTTCCTATTTACACAAATACACTAAATATAATTGCTCTTAGAAAAAGTTTTCTTCTGAATTGTTTCAATAATAAAGCATAACATTTAAATCACATCAATGACAGATTACTTTAACTACTCCTTGTTTATATACCTCTTTAGATCATAAATAATATAGGCCTATTGATGTTAGTTTGAGATAGGTTAATATTTTTTAACCCAAGCCTGTCATGTCCAATTTCATTTCTTGTGATACACTGATTAAAATGTACATTGGCATAGGCATCTTCCTTTATCAGAGGAGGGATTCTACACAGTGACTGATTCCAGATATGTAATAGATAATAGATCACTTACTGGATCAATAAGAACTTCTTTGGGATTTTACATTTTATAGCCTCTTTGCTGTTCTTCATTGTGAATTGCATACAATGGCTAAAATAGTATATAACAGTATATCTTTAAAGGAGCTTGGTTCAAGATCAAAGATTGGAAGTGTGCTGATGATCAACTTTATTTTCTGTCTGTAGGGATCAGACCTCATCCTGCAGGGTTTGAACCGTTCTCCAGGCTTTTGTTCTTTTCCTGCAGAGTTCCTTTTTCTACTTGCAGCTGGCTTAGCTGCAGAAAGGACATGTGTTGAGCAAGAAGGAGGAGCTTCCCAACAACATCCAGGATCATGCTTTGGGTTTCCTAGTTTGATGGTTGATATGATCAACTGGCTCCTTTATTTTTATTTATCACAAATGCTAATTGAATAGCTATTAAGGTTGTTAATCTCCTCTAAGGATAGATGGATCACACCAGCAACTGTTTCTTGCAATGCTGCGTGGTCTTGTTCAAAGGGAGTCTTAGCTTCTGGCTCACCTAGGGTCTTGGCACAAATTGTACCTGGTGAAATGGAACCCCAGTGGCTCATAATGACTTTTAGTGAAGCTGCTTAGCTAAAAAAAAATCTAAAATCCACAGGAGAGCAAATCTGGTCTAAGTTTTAAACTTGTCACTACACTCTATCCTGGAAACACCTCAAGACCTTTGATGATTTGGGAAACTCGCACCTCTCAGACAGCTGGCTACTCTGTGCATTGGTTACTATCTCAACTGTACAAATGGCTAAATTGTTGTCTTAAACAACAAAAGGACAACACAAAGTAATTATACTACCCAACTCATCAACAACACACAACACAAACTAAACCACAACATAATGTATACTTTGCTTGAAAGTACATTCTCAAAAATAAATAAATAAGTACTTTACCTAGCACAAACAATGCGATGAGGCTGGTTTATAGCGGGCCTCACGTGGGGCACCAATTATGTTGGGGTATTATGAAGTAATTTTGGCCATAATTTAATTATTAATATGAATAATGAGGATTAATCCAATATTAACATAATTTAATAAAATTATGATTTTCAATTAATAACAATGGAGCACCCTCCTGGAATCAGGGAATAACAGCCAGATAACACAAATCATACTTAATTGTAATTAGTTAAAAATCTACATTATTAATATTTAACAAGTATCTGTATTCAAATAAATGGAAGGCGTGAATCCGTATACTAGCCCTTGCACCCATCTGTTATCACAATGCACATACACCAGTAATCAAAGACAACTGCCTTTTAAATAGAAATGATAATATAATTTATTTAACAAGGCAACATCAACTGCAATCAATGAAACTCAATTAAAAAAATAACTATTATAAACTAAACTACAGCAAAAAGAGTATATCTACAAACAAATGAACATACGTGGCATAAGTGCTTGTGTGTGTGATAGAGAGAGAGAGAGAAAATTGGGGGAAGAAGAGAGACAGATAGAGAGAGAGGGAGCCGTGTGGCTTGGCCTGTAGCAGCTTGAACTCCCTGTGATCAGTTCAGTAACTATAATTTAAACACCAGAAAGGCAGTGGTCGAACTTTGATTTACCAGCAGGTACAGCGGTCTTTCTGATTTTGAAGGCAGTTTACTGATAGTGAGCTGAGACAGCAGATTGAATAAACACACAGGTGAACATGATGGTTCAGCAACAATAAAACAAATGCAGCAGCTTACAACAGATGATAAAGTACAATTATCAACTGTTATTGAAGAAATATTTCCTCAAGCTATTTCTGCCAAGAAAAAAGCCTCTTACTTGGGATCACTCTCCTGGTGATTGATGCAAAGTTTAATCTGCTGTTCAATTTGTTGAAGGTTGATCAACCGATTTTAACAGGTTCCAGGTTACCCCACACTTTACACCTTAGGTGTGAGTTGCTACAGGGCATGTGGGGAATCACTGTTTTTGCATGTCCTTTTTTGTTTCCCTCCTAATGTACTCAATTCAGGCATCCTTATGGGGATACGGGCCTGGGTCTGTCCAACACATGGCTGATCTCAAGAGGTGCGAGCCAATAATTCAGAACGTGTGAATGTTGTTGTTGTTTGGAGTCTTAAATAATTCCTGTTACAAATCAAATAAATAAGAAATGTATTTTTTACATGAAGAACATGGTATATTTTAATGTAAACATGTACTGCACACACTTGTTTTTAAGTATCCTGAAATTACTCGAACTTACTTACATTTAGCTAGAAGTTTTGAGGAGATCCAAAACATGGACAGAGATAGTGCCATTAATATACTTAATATGCATTAATATGCTTTTTCACTCAAAGTGTTCAAGGAATTAAAAACAGGCTAGATTGAAAGGTTTTTGGGTAGCTACAAGCTGTGTGTTATCTGAACATGTTCAAGCAGATTTATTTACAGTTTGGGCTGCCTGGAGGCTTTTCCCTACTGCATCATATCTGCTAATCACTTGTTAGCAGTGTTTTTTCCCTCACCACCACTCTGGAGAGGAATCCTCCTTTGTGGTGTGCTGCTTGTGTCATAGTTTACTTACTTGCAAGAGGCGTTGTACATATTATAAATATGCACATCAAGACATCCCTAGTTTAGATTTGGAGGGGGGGGGGGTATGTTAAAGTCGAGATCAAATTTTGAGTTGGCTATTAATCTTTTAATATGAGATTTTAGACTAGTAAAACATGCTTTTGTATGTAGTGTCCTTTCTCTGTGCAGGAATCTGAAATTAAAATGATATGACAGTGAAGTAAAATTGGATCTGTGACATTTCTTGCCATTTAAAAAACCCTAAAATGCACTACATCTTTATTTTTGATGAACCATGTTGGCTGTTAGTACTTTTGCATTCACTGATTGTTTGATTCACTAATTGCATTTCCAGTTTATGCATATTTTGACATTTGTTAAAAATCTTTGAATGTGTTTGATGTCCAGAATTTTTTGTTTTTCCAGCCTTCTTCTTCTCGGTGCAGTGGGCCAACAGACAGGACTGAATGTGGTTCAGGCCACAGTATGCTCCCACTGGGGTGCACCGACTGATAAGAGTCTAATCCAGGATGGAGATGTGATTATAGGTGGACTTTTTAACCTGTATCACATACCTTCAACTAAAGATGAGGACTACACAAAGAAACCACATTATGAACCTTGTACTGGGTGAGCTTAATAACTACATATAGTTTTGTTAAATGTTTGGCGGGTTACTGAGTATTCATCATGTGACTGCACATTGTTTTTCTTTATATTTTTTCCCGGAGTCTTATTTTAGTCTGCAGACAAATTTAATTCTGCAGATCCAGGAATTATTGCAATGTTTGTGATACTTTAAAAGTTTTATCACCTGTTACAATAGTTGAAGAGCTCACTTTAATTATTTTACAATTACTTTAATAGATTTTATCCTAGTTAATTCATGTTGCTTGTTCATGTTTTTAGACAGCCTTGTGTCCTGATTGTTGTTGAAGTTAATACATTCTGCTCTACTCTCTCTCTTATGGTCTCAGCTTAGAACTGGAGCCGTTAAAATACTCTTATGCCATGGTGTTTGCTGTGGAGGAAATCAATCGAAACAACACCCTACTACCAGGAGTGAAGCTGGGTTACCGAATACTTGATAGCTGTTCCCTGTACCCGTGGGCTCTGCAAGGTACAATGTCATTGGTTGGAGGAGACACACACAGCTGCAACTTGACAGCCTTTGCAGGTCCTATTGAATCTAATGAACAACCTGTAGTGAGAGCAGGTACGTGATATCATTTAGTATTCAGTTGAAATATCTTACCTCCACAAAACCAAAAGATGATTAAATGTGGTAAAAAATGCTTCCCTATGTAATCATGAGCCCAAATACATTAAGGTGGTCTGCCTGTACCGATGATCATTGGTGCTGAATCCTCTACAACAGGCATAATGATGTCCAGCACCCTGGGGCCTCTCTATGTACCAGTTGTAAGTTTCATTACCTCAAAAATAAACCTCTTCATAATCATATGTTTGCACAATCTACATAAAGATTCTGATAGAAAAATAAAATGGAATCTTTCTTGTAAAAAGAAAAAAATCAACATTTGTGTGTCTTTTTGTTTAGATCAGCTACCTGGCAAGCTGCCCCTGCCTTAGTGACAGGCTTAAATATCCTACTTTCTTCAGAACA